TGGAAAGATAATTGGTGAAAAGTAATTTAATTATAAAATATAATAATTGAATATGTATGTAGTGTGATAATATGTTTAGTACATTTAAATTTCATAGCTATACCATGTTTTATTAATACGATATACTGTATGTGAAAAGGGATAATTATAACAAAATAAAGAACAAAAACAATATAAGAAATGTAATGTATTGCCATACATTTCTACATTAACATCCACTCACCCAGCATGCCAGAGTCCACACCAACAGATTCCACCAAGAAATTTGCTGACAATCCCACAGTCCCTCCCTCTAGTCCTGGTCCCCATGCTCGAATCTTCTGTGGACCAGCTTCTGAACCAACATAGACTTTAAATGGGCTGTAATAGAGAAACATCAACATTTTATTTCAATAATATGCTTTTCTTTGTTGAACTTGTGTAATGCGAGCTAACCTCTTGGCAATGTGCTGACCAACCCAGGTGATGTCCACTGTGTGATGTCCTTTAGCAGTGGGTGTATATTCAAAGGTATATACACCTTCATGTGTATCCTTCTGCCTGACAGACACTGCTTTGTCACCTGACATAAAGGGGTGACATTTCATTTAGCCCAGAAGCAGGCTACATCATTGTGTATCTTTATATAAATTGTGGGGAGTTTATGTACTCACTGGGGTCTTTAATAAGGACCTCCAGATTACCAGGCCCAGCTTTGCAGGTGTCCACTTTAAATTCAGCCAGCTGACCTACTCTCATGCCTTTGGACTGCAATCCCCGGCCTGTGGCACGACAGGCTTTGGGTTTCGGCACTAAAACGAAAGAAAAATAAGTCAAATGTTGATACAAATAGACCCAAGCCATTAAAATGCCATAAAGGTTGTACACTTTATGGAAATAATTGGATTTGGGAAAGAGACGCATAACATCTCGTTGGACATGGACATTTTTTTTTTTTTAAATCAGCATCAAGGTATTGACTGTAGGTTTGACGACGCAGGTGCTGCTTTTATTAAGACCAACAACAGCACAAATACATGTGATATTGCTTTTTTACAACAGTTCAATAAAGTCAATATCGAGTAACTTACATTTTAGACACAATATTTCTAATATTCGCAACAAAGCCAAATCAGACTTTAGAATGATAACTGGGTCATTCTACGGAATTGGTGCAAACTGCTGTCCGACAACCAAAAAACACATTTAAAAAGCAGATCCTTCTATTAACAGCACAATTATTAGAAATGTGTAAATAGGACATTATACAATTTGCATACAAACAATATTTGTGGAAAGACACATTTTTTCAAGATGTAGAATGGCCCAACTATAGCAATAACTATATTAGCATCCACACCAATGGAAAATAACATTCGGTTGCACTGCAATTGTTTGAGCTCTTTAAAGTTGGGTGGATTTTTATTGGCTCTTCACCATGAACAATTTCATCCAACAATATTGTTTCCCTGTGTTGTTATTGTTATGGCTGTGGTAGTGTTCCAAATTGTCATAAAAATTAAAACAATCATCTAAATGTAGTTTATATCATCATTGTTGTGAATGGGGCTTTAAACGTTGGTAACTAAACTAGTGGCGTTTGTTCTTGAATGAATAAGTCCTTTTTAATTAATGATTTGAATATCACAAGGACAATAAATGGTCACCTACTGGCATATCAATGCAACCTGCAGAAAGTCTTCTAGTCAACAAAGTTCTCATCAAATTATCATCATGACCATTTTTTATCTCGTCTTCGTTATAATTGAGGACGTCAAAAAAACTAAACAGAGGGGGTTTTATAAAGGGCCAAACCTTTCTTTGGCTTGAGTGGGGCTCCAGGTTTCAGCCTGGCTTTGGGGAAAAGTGAGAGGTATGTCATCACTGACTGCTCATCCACGGCTGGATCAAGAATCTCCTCTGGGGCTATGAGCTTAATAAATGTATAAAAAAAAAAAAAAAAATTCAATTGAGAACAACAGAATCCCTAAGGAGGTTATCAAAATGTACATGTCCATTCTGGTTGAACTCACCTGTGGAACTCCAAGCCAGTCATCTGCTTGCTGCATGGCTTCTTTAGTGTTACTCACCCGATGCACTGCCTCCCAGCTCTCCCAGTCAGGACACAAGCCTGTGGAAGCACAAACAATAATACTTTTCCCCTTTCAACACATGAGGAGTTTAAAGAAGACTATTTAAGAAACTTTTTATACCTGGTGCCAGTCCATCCACTAATGCACCAAGAGCCTTGCCATCCTGCCAGTCCAGGCTGAAGTTAGTGATTGGCAGTTCAGGGACTTTGTTTTGGATCCATCCCAGAAGCCTTATCTCTGGAGTCAGTTTGGAGACAGAATCGTTTGCCTCATCCTCCCACGCCAGGGTGGAGATGGAGTAATGCTGGATCAAGGTCCAAACTAGACCCAGGATCAGCTTCAAATTCCCATCCACTATGGCTTTGCTGTCTGTATGGAGAGAATAAATGTGTGTGTCTTTTTGTTGCTTCAAGATGGAGACCTTCTCTTGGTCACATAAGTTGATGTATTAAAAAAAAAAAAAAATCTTAAAAAAACTTTTGTAAGTCAGCCATTACTTTCAAATAATAGTTGGACTGGGAACATTGTTCCAGTCCAGCTCACAGCTAATTGACTGAAGTGCCATCTCCAATATGACACTAAAACTCTTTGACTCAAGGCCTTCCCTCCCTAATTAGGGAAGGGGCCACAGGAATTCATAGGAAAAACAAGTTTCTAGTGTCAATGTGGGAGTAGCAATTCAGTTGCATTACAACATCCCTCTGAAGAAATGCGTATGCTTTTCAGACAACAGACGAACAAATCTTGACTTTGCTGGCGACCTTCTTGAAAAATGAAACTGTTATATAGATACAATAAACAGTTTAGTTTGAGTTTTCATCATTTTAAATAGTTTAAATTTTTATGCTTTAATTTATTCTTATTTAAGCAATATATTTGAGTCATTTTAGTACGACATCTTAGACTTGTTTTATTTCAGTTAATTGCTAAATCAAGTTCTTCATCTAATATTTATTTTATTTCAGATTTATTTCAATTACCAAAAACAAGTTTAACAGTTTTAGTCAACCATAACACCCCTTAATCACATCATAAATGATGAAGGAAATTAAAAAAAAAATGTTGTATGTTTTAAACAATACTTTACTGTAACCAAACCGATATGGTTTAATAGCCTCAGCTTCTGTTAGCCAGAAACATAATTAATAGCATAAAGACAATTATATTTAATAATTAGAGTAATTAGTATAATTAGAGGCAAATTATGGTTTGTTCTTACTAATTACTACATGATTTAAATTTAAGGGGAGTATAAGGCGATAATTTCACCGTAGCCATGTTTATCTGCGCTATAAGCAATTACATTTTTTTACTCGTGTATATATAGTATGCCACAGTGCCAATAGTGTTTCTGCTTATATAAAACAAACTTGATCATAAATCTTTCATAACATTTATTCTTATTTAATTGCTGTATAAAATATCTCCTATTTGACATACCCCACATTTCTTTATAGCAAATTTTATCTAAACAATATTCAGAAACAAAATCTTCAAATGTTTTCACATCTCTTTGCAAATGCTGAAAGAGTTCAGGCAGGTTGTAACTTACCTATAGACACCAACTTAACCTTTTCATGATCCAAAAACTCCAGAGCCACCGAAACGTTGTCTAGCTTGAGCTGTCTGAAGGTGGGTCGCGTGTGGTACTTTCTAAACATCCTCTTATGGCTCAGGACCTCCAGCAGCGAGATAAGGACAAGGCCATCGCTCAGATCAAACTTAAGATCGCTGATCTGCAGCTCCACAGACCTCAGGTGTTCATTGCACCAGCGTGTGAAGGTGTTCTTCTGTATCTTTTTCCACGGGGCATCATCTGCCAGGTTGATTGCAGCTGCAGTAACACTATCTTTAAAGTCACCCATCGCACCCTCTGATCAGTGTGGAGCCAGAAACCTTTTATACCAAACTAAGAAGCATGAAGCTTTCAAGTAGCTTTGCTGGTGGTGGGAGTGCCTTACAACCCCTCATTCTGGCCCATAATTATTATCATACAGCACCTCTGAGAGCTGTTTTTACTCTGACATTAACCGTGTCATCATGCCGCAGCCCTGCATCGTGCAAAGGAATAATAAAAACAGATTCTAGTTACATCAGTGCTTGAAGAATGCATTTACTCGGAAGACAGAGGTCAGAAACAGGATCCTCAGGCCTGGGGAATTCAGCTAATTCCCACCTGCAGCCAGATGAAGGTCTGACATCACTGTTGCTGATAACCTTATCGCTGGTGACGTTACACTTCATTTACTCCAGAATAAACTGAGCATATTATTGCCAGAGCTCTTTTGATCGGGGCACGTCCTCATATTTCCCCATGCGGCATTGAGGAGGGATGACTCATTGGGGCGGACTGCATTACACCATGGAAGCGTGTGCCTTTGGCTGCAGGTTTTTTGATAAAAAAATTGGTTAAGGCCATAATTTATTAGGGGTGCGTTTATGTGCCCAGGGTGTTTTGTGTGCGTGTACTCGAAATCTTAACAATAAGGTTATCCGTTTCACAATTCTGATTCACAAGCTCTTAATTTGATTCATTTCAGTTATGAATGTCCACGTAGTTTACATACTCTTACACAAAGTAATAGAATTGGTTGTGCTGTATATTTTTGATTCACTAAAAAGAACTGCCACATAAGAGACATTTGTTTGTGAATTAGACAACAATGGTTAAAATTGTATATTGTTTTGCTGTAAAAAGTATTTAAAGCTTCATGTGAGGTATAAAAATGTATTTTGAACAAACATATTACATTAACCTAGGTGAATACGGTATATACTGTAAATACCGTTTATTGCTAATTAATGGTACCTAATACATTAATTACCTAATACATTAACATAATTGGCCTTATTGTAAAGTGTTATCAAAATGAAATTCATTTGATAAGCATAAATGATTTAAAATAAAAAAAAAAACAGGGACTTAACATGGCTGAACTACACTTATTTATTGGAATTGCATGTTTGTTAGATCAGGTAGATTTTCCTTAAATCTTTGTACAAGTAATAATATACATAAATCATAAACACTATATTATAAGTCTCTTTAGGACAAAATAGCTCTCTAATGTCCTAAGTGAACAGCGATTATTTTCATCATCATCATCATCATTAATAAGAATACGTCAAATCCTTATCACAAAGTACAGTGCATAGACTAATTACTAATGGCTTTGTATAAGGTGCAAGGACACATACACGTTACATGGCGGATTTAGGCCTTTAACCCACAGAATGTATTAAAACTTAAATGGATGCATCATGTCTCGAATGTGTTATTGCAGTGGGATTTGCAAAATTCTCAATCACTTTTAATGGAAGGTATAAACGTTTGTTTATTTGATGCTACTGTATGTTATTTAAGACAAATGTCTAAGTGTTTGTTGGGCAAAGCAACAGTGTTCAATAAAATACCTGTTATTAGCCAGATACTTCAAATGCTATGCATACACAACGTCCAATTTAAAATATACATGTATGGTGCAACTGAGGGAATGTTGTGATGAAATTACTCTAAGGCCGTCGGTATGCGAGTAGAAAGTTGCGTTTAAACACTTTTTACTCCAACTAACACCACACAGACTAAAAGGACACAAATGTTGACACGTCTGAGAAAGATTGACTAGGTATGCATGTCACGGTGTGTGCGCTTGTTACTGGTTCATCACGTTGTTCATTTTGAGGTCTTTGAAAGCAAATACCCCGTCACAGCAATGGTTACAGCGGCAACAGGCATCCACCTGATCCATTTTCCCTGCGAAAACAAACATGACAAGAGATGACATCATCTGTAGCACCTCATCACCAATCAGAACACGTTTACGATCAAGGATGCACATGAGCCGAGAAGGGGACACAAAAGCCACAAGGACGGCACGCAGACAAGGACAGCAAAATACACACGGTGGAGGACAAAGAGAGCCGGGATGCCTCAGAGCTACGCTGGAAAACTACACCCTACAAAATGGAGTTCGTCAGAAACACTTGTTAGTGTGCGTCTTATAATACAAAGCGGACCTGTAGTAGGGAAACGGAAGCATTTTGCAAACGACCGGACAGCATTTTGTAGCTTAAGCAGAGAACTGTTTAGTGGTCATGCATAGCCCTGAGGATGATGGATGCTTAAGCAGAGGAATGAGACGGGACAGGAGCACTGTGTACCTTTCTACCACAATGGGCCCAAGCACCAATACAGCAAAGCCAGGACAAGGCCGATGGCTACGGCTAGGATGGGCTGCAATAAAGACAGCTAAAGGAGGGAAGGGAGGGATATTACTGAATGACTGTCTTATGCTTATGTGCGCTATTATTGGACTGGTAAATTTTACTATCATCATCATCAAAAAAAAAAAGGAAATCAAAAGGTGAAGCGTGTAATTCTAAAATGCCACAGTCTGTTTAAATGCGACACATCAACTTTTGGTTTAACCGATGCTGCAAGTGTGGGGCAGTACCCCCCGTCTGTCAATGGCGTGGGTTGATGCAGCAAGCCTTTGCCATCTCACAGTGGTTGATCAGCCTGGAAATTTGGAATTATTTGACATTTTATATATATATTTTTATATTATATTTTTATTTTTTATTTATTATATATTTTTATATTTTATATTATATTTTATTATCTTATTTTTTATATTATTTTATACAAATAATTTAATAATTAAAAAATTTAAAGAATTTTGTTCATAAGTGACTGTAAAAATATAAAATATTTGATTCATACATGAAACTGTCACAAAAATATTAAGACACTTGCTTCCTCATTTTTGTTTTGGTGGCACGTTCGAGAAATATTTAGCATGTATTTTATGTAATCACATGGAATTTTGAGGTGAAAACTGCATATTGCAACATTTTATTTACTCTTTTTATAGCGAGTGTCAGTTTTGGACCCCGGGTAGAAACCTTACTGGAAACAGTCTGCAACTACGTTTGGTGTTGTTATTGGCCACAGAAATTACACACTTCATCTTTAGGCTATACAAAATGTTGAAACAAATGTGGAAGTTTATTGTCAAACAAACGGTGATGTATTTTTCATCTCGGATTTCAAGCACAAACAATGCTCTTTCCTCTTGAACTGTCCCTATTGTCAGTGCCCCTGTTGTTGAACATAAGCGTTACATGGATTGAAAACTCACATGCTTGTCTTTGTCCTGCAGAAGCCTCAGGCGCTCTTGGCTCTGCTGCAGCTCTAGACTGATGGAGCCTTTCTCCTCCTCTACATTCTCATACTTCTCCCTGAGGCCCGACAGCTCTGACTGGATCTCCTCATACTGAGAAAGAAAAAGAGAAAGAGTACAAACCTTTCATAAGGAGCAATGAGCCTAGTCAACAACACACGCACACTCGCACACACACTGTGTATCCAGGGGCCAGGGCTTTTTTTAGGTGCAGAGCTCTTTTGTGACATGCCTGCTAATGAGTCTCAGGCAGTTCTACTTTCATTCTCAACTATGGTGGGAATAACCTCTTTCTGCAGTTCTTTGATCCTGCTATTGCCTTGCTCCAGCTGGATAGTGTCTCTCTGGTGTTCCTCCTGCAGGACGCTCAGCCGTTTCTCCATGTCCGCCTGCGTCTTCTCCAGGGTCTTGACCGTGTTGCTCAGACTTGTGGTCTGTTTCTTGGAGCTGAGGCAGAATGCAGGTTCAGATTGCAGATCGATTACATCATTACATCACAAGTCTGCAAAAGGATATTTTTCCAATTCAAAAATGAAGTGTAAGGCTGGGTATTGAAAAAGATATAACGATTCGATTAAATTTCGAGTTTAGATTTCAGTTGATTCTGATTCGATTCAATACTATATGGATTCATTTGGATATCCATCAGGTACAGCATGTCCATTTATCAACGGGGACAGAAAACTAAATTAAAGCAGCAAAACTATAAAATATACCGTCAAAAAAATTTATTTATATATTATTATATTATACAATATACTGTTAATATGGCAGCTTTTTTCACTTTAAAATGATCAAATAATTTGCAATTACATTTGGTACTTCAATTGCATTTGGTGGCATGGCAAAGGCAACGGCAACTTCACGTTTAGCCGTAGCTGACACCGCTTAATACAGACCTGTCCAGCTCTTTCTCCAGCTGCTGTTGTTTCTTCATTAGCTGTTCTTTCTCTGAGCGCAGGGTGTTGCTCTCACTCTGCAGGCTGATCTTCTCTTTCTGCTGTTTATCAGCCAGCTGCTCTCTCTCTGACCTCAGAGACACGCACTCCTTCCTCAGGCTCTCACAGTCCTTCTGCAGCCGCTCCAGCTCGCTCGCTGCATCACACACGCGCAATTAAAAAGGTACCCAAAGACATGCACACAAATCACAGATATAGCACACACACAAAACGGTGGAAGTGATGTGAGAAACACGAGTCATCTTTAGAATATCTGTCGAATTACTGCAAACACTGCCGTGACTATTGTTTGATGGACCTAGGGGCTTGATTTGTAACTTCTACCAACGCATTATTTTCCTCATTCATCAGGTTTCTCTGAAAGGAGGACAAATTCCTCTAATAGATAATAAATGTGCAAAAAACATAAAAAAGCCTTAATTTAATTGGGGGCCAAATACAGGAATTTAGCCTGGCGAAGCATAATTTATGTATATTGAATGTATAATTTATTTGTCAAGGTATAACCTTTTAAAATGAACACTTTAACCAATGCATAATAATGTTAACAGATTTTTTTTTTTATTATTATAACATTATCAGATTCAGAAATCAGATGTATTCATGCTAATTTGATGTCATACGATTTTTTAAGAGGTACAGTCATTTATTTATGTATTATTTTGGTTTAGAAAAACACATGGATGAGAAGTGTTGACGTTCTCACATAATTCCATGATTTTTAGCAATTAAACGAAGCCGGTTTAAAATTCTATAGGTTGGCCCAATCATCTGTGAGGGGAGAGGCGTGTTGGGTTGTGGGTACCTTGCTGTTTGGCAGCTCTGTCTCTCTGCTGGTTCTGCTGTTGTTGACTGGCCTGTACACTGTCAAGCTCACGCTCGTACTTGTTTGCAGCCAACTGCCATTTCTCCAGCTCAGAAGTTAGTGTCGCCAAGTTCCCCTTCAGCGCGCTGACCTCATGTTCTCGCTCGGCTGCCGTTTTCTCCATAGTGCGGCGCAACACCTGCACTTCCTCCTGAGCTGTGTGCGCTTCCTGTCTCATGCTGAAGACCACGCTGTCCTTCTGATCCCTGAGATTCTCCATGTCATCCTGCAGTTTCTGGAGCTGAGCTGAATACACATATAGACCATTCGGTATAGTATATTGTTGAGTAATAAAAACTTAAGACATACACACCCTCCTTCACTTACTCTGCAGGACCTTTATCTGTTTTGCTGACTCCTCTGCCTGCTGCTTATTGGCTTTTTTCTCCTCCTCCAATAGACCTGTAATACACAGCACAAGCCATCAGGGGGACCTATTGAGCATGACCGTCATCACAAATCATTTCAAATGTTCACAGGCTTACTCAAATATACAAATAATAATAAACACCATCATGTGTAATTTAATATTTAATCATGTATTTTACATAAATAAAAATATGAGTAGTGAGGTAAAGTTCAGTGCTGTTTTAGGATCGGTTTGGTCTCTCATATCCTAATGTATAAGACATTAGAGAGTAATCTGTGTGAGCTTACCTTGGAGTTCGACACACTTGTGTTTGCTCGAGTCGGCCTGTTCATTGGCATCCTGCAGTTCCTGGTTGAGGCGTTGGATGACCTTCTCAGACTCACTGGCCTCCACAGTGCTCCTGCTCAGCTCATCTGGATAAATGATTACATTATCTAATGGGAACTATTAAATATCATAATTAGACACTATTATGGTACTCTGCTGTCAGAGAATCACTCTTTCATCAACAGTTAATGGGTGATCTGGGTCTTTATCTCTGTATCAGCATCAATGAGTTGCATTTCGACTTCGCCAGATTCTTCTGCCCTCTGACGAAGTGCAAACCCTGTCACCAAAGGTTAATTAAATCAGAATGAATCACATGGTAATTTCCCTGGAGGTCAGAAAATGGGTCTATTCCATGAATTAATAACTTTAAGAATAGATCCATCCTAAAAACATAATATCATCAGTAGGGTTTAAACTGGGATCTGCAAAAAGGATGGATGGGGTTTCAATAAAGCCATTAGAGTAAAAGTTTGAAAGGTTCTAATGTTATACAATGCCATTTCATTATAAATCAGAAAAGTTTTTGAGAAAACATTCATGAAGATTTTTAACCTTTAAATAAAGATCCGTTGCTCTGCAAATGTTACGTTTACTGACTGCAATTTAGCTTGCCTAAACTTAGAAACAAACCTGCTCCTCTTGCTGGAAACCAGGCCATCTTATCAAATGCTCCAGAAAAATATGACCTCATCTTAAAAACTCAAGGGTGTATATACCATAAATGGGCATATCAAGGACATATCATTGCAATCAGAGACGCATAATTCCAGAAATTGTACTTCACATGCCTTGGATGACTAAGCTAAAATATACTGAAATCCTGTGCAGGCTGCTAGAGTGGAGAGGACGAAGACATTAACGTTTCATGAGGTTCTGCGGAGGGTAATGTTTATGGATGCCATTCTGCATCAAAAGCTCAATCTCTCAGCAGAGTACCAGGGCACATTGAAATGCTTTGGCCTAATTTATTTGTGAGTGTGTGGAAAAGGAAGACACAATCAGACAGACTAAAAAATATCTTCTGAAAACACTAGTATAAGCAGAAAGTATTAGCAGAGGCTGGAAACTGTCCCATTGCAGCTAATGATAACAAAACACTGCCATGCATGATTACATTTGGGTATAATAAAATGATTTTTGTAAAATCGCTTGTTCTGAACAAAAGGTTTTATTCATTACGCTCAAACTGCTGATGAGCAGTTCTGAGGTATGTAGTAACAGATGTATAAAAGGCATAGTTTACAGAAATTTCACTGAAACTAAACATACATTTTATTCCTCGCGGTCTGTCATTTTTCCATCTTAAACTTAATAAAAATCCATTATTTTTTAATTAATGAATGAAATATGTTTTACAAAAATACATCAAAGAATTAAATAAACGAATTGCTCACAAGTAACTCAATAAAACTTTATACCCAAATATACTTTATACAAAAACAAGGTTTAATATCCTCAAAATGAATACTTAAAGGGACAGTACAGCACTATATTTTGGTTCTGAATTCTTCAGCAAATAACAATTAAAAACTCAATAGCAATAAAGTGTTTTTACCTTTGATCAAAGCCACTTTATTAATAGGATCTTTCAGCTTCTGCTCCTCCATTGTTTTCCCCACTGTGACAGAGCACGAGAGCAATTACGTTAATACCACTTTAAAATATGAACTTTACACAATTTTTTTTAGATATCCAAGTTTACATAATTGATTGAATAGTAAAGCAATGTTAGCATGAATTTCCAGGTGATGCCAATTATGACTCAGCTAGTTAATGAGGCGGAAAACTCAAATAAATCACTGTTTTCCAAAAAATGCAACAGAAGAGTAAGAAAATAAACACAAGCCTTAATCTTTTCCCATTTCAAGCGTCAAATTATAGCGTGCACTCAAAACATAACGTCATGCCAGTTATATAATACAGCTTAGCATCATTGTATCAATTAGGAAGACTACTCATCACCTTTACTTAAGTCTGAGGACTAAAAAACAGAAGCCATTACCTGTAGACTCGTGATGTCACGTTCTGTCGGTGCCGAAATAGAGCTGCAATATTCAGGCTTCTTTAACTATCGATTCGCTCTGGTGATGGGAACTGGACGAATCCATTCTGAAGGGCGGGGACAGCGACGCATCCACATATCTTATCTGGGGGTTTCCTTGACAAAGCAAGGCTGACACGGTAGAGTGGAGATGATATAGATTACGCTATATGAGCTAATGAAGTATATTGAACTCTGAGGGGTCGTTTTCTTTGTGGATTTTTTTTTGTATGCCCCTTCTTGTGACCCCCTCCTCCCGCAAGTGATGGTCTGGAGGTCTCGCTCACATGGGCATACAAGCGTCCTGAGGCATCTAAAGAGAGGCTGCAGCTGCATGGTAGAATACACTCAGGCCCATTGTTTCACTCGTTAGTGCTTCTCTTATGTAAAAACTGTTAACAATAGTGATCATTCGTGCTTGCATCAGTTTTAACCAAAGCACTGTGATTTCAGTAAACTTAATTGGATGTCAAAATGTCAATCACTTTGACTGCCAGACCGATCATTTGAAGGTGTCTCGTCGATAGAAAACATGAAAAAACAAAAACACCATTGACCTCTCAAAGAAATGCTTGCATTTCTTGCCCAGTAATGGTTTGTCACTTGTTTGTTTATTTATTTGTTTGTTTCTCCAGATGTACACATATGGCTGATTTTGTGTGCTGGATTCTCACATTTTAAATTTCCAAGTCTCAAAATCTATGATAACCAATTTCTGCCAGTAGTCTGCTGCTAAAGGACTTGAACATGGTAAGTGACATGCTGTTTTTTTTAATTGCCTGTGGGATATTTAAAACTTTTAGAATGGAAGTCTCACATTGCAGATTTGAACATATCATCATTGTATTGCTGCTTACTTTATTATAGGCCTGCCGCCTATAAAAAAGTGCAAACTTGTGCAGTTTTATAATTTACCTAAACAGGGCATTAGGTATTATATGGATACTGTTACATTACACAAGCATTGTATTTCCAGTGCCATCTCTTTCAATATCTCTATGAAAATATTGTGTTTTTTTTTTTCTCAATTTGACCAACCAAGGCTGATGTTGAATTAAAGGGACACTTCACCCATTTGCAGTAAGCTTTGTATCTTATAGAAACCCAGTCATATTTTTGAATGGTCATGGTTTATTCCCTTATTTATCGATCAAGAGGGCACCAAGTTCAAAAATTATTTTACATTTCGACTACATATATGATCCACTTTCAATAAATGGGTTGAAATGGGTGAAATGCTCCTTTAAGAGTTTGCCATGCTTATGGATCTTTCCTTTGTTGTCATGGTGATAGAGCAAACCTGTCTCATTCATAGTTCTTGCCCATGTAAGTTCTGACTGCACAAGATGGACTGAGAAAAATCACACAACATCACCAGCAGAAAATATTGAAGTCACCTTGTCCAGTGCCATCAGATAACCTTGAATCCTTGAAAGGGATGAGTCATGGTCATAAATCTCTGCGATGTAAGATCTACAGCTTTTAATGACAACAAAAAGAAGCTGCGCTCGTCCAAGATTTGGATCTAAAAAATGGGTATTCTGGGTGCCTGAATAATTCAGTGTTTTGTAGGCTAGATTAAGAAGATTAAGACTATTTCTCTTTCTCTTTTATCCTCTCTAATACTTAATATTCATATTCATTATTATAGCTTAAAAACATTACATATAACATTTAAACAGATTATTTATTTATCTATTTGCATGTCAGCACATGACTGATCTTCAACACTGAAATGTAGTTGAAATAATGTCCTTTGTTGTTTCAACTATGAAAAAAGCATTGAAACAACATTTAAAGCAGCACTATGCAGTTTTTTTTTACTTTAACTGAATAGCTTCGGAGTTATTGCAATGGTTATATGACTATTTTCGGGTTGAATGTTGGGCGTCTCATTAGAAATGACTGCCTTTTAAATTATTATTATGTGATCAGCAGGCAATTATTATTTTATTATATTTTGATAATATAAAACCTAATCAAAATCAAAACCGATGTTAAAATACAATTATTATAAGGACACTATTGCTCAAACGCAGACTGTACATGCAGCTACTGCCCAAAAAAGTGAATACGTGAAACATTAATTTGAGAATTACTATATAATTGTACCTTTATATTCTGTTGAGTCTGTTGAGTGACATGAAATTGGAAATTAATGTCAGTTTGGGACACTCTAAAAGGTTTAACGTAAAAAAGCTTAACTTAATATACTAAGACAGTGGCATTAACAGACCAAACTCATTAAACACCTTAATAATAAAGCATAATATGTACAGAAAAGCAGATGAACCCAGAATATGAACGCAACACATTTAATTACAAGTTAAGCATCTTTCTCCCGTAGAAAACCATTACAAAGAAAACGCTTAATGTATTAAGACGGTGATATTAACAGACTAAATTCAGTAAACACCTTATTAATAAACCATACTATGTACAGAAAAGCAGATGAGCCCAGAATATGAATACAAAGCGTTACACGTTAAGCGTTTTCTTCCCATAGAAGCAGTTATAAAGAAAACGCGTAATATGCTACTAAGAGCCAATTCTGTACACACCTTATTAATAAACCATTTAATTACACACGTTTTCCTCCCATACAGAAAACATTATGCAACGTTAAGCATTTTCTTTATAATGATTTTTTAAATATGAGGTAATTAAACGCATTGCGTTCATATTCTGGGCTCATCTGTTTAGTATTAGTGTGGTGTTTGCTGAGTTTGGTCAGTTAATGTCAATGTCTTAGTACATTAGCCACATTAAGTGTTTTCTCTATGGCAGGAAAACGCTTCAAGTGTAATTAAATGCGTCATGTTCATATTTCGGGCTCCTCGTCTGCTTTTCTGTACATAGTATACTTTATTAGTACGATGTGCACTGAGTTTGGTCTTTTAACATCTATGTCGTAGCCTAGCCACATTAAGTGTTTTTCACGTTAAGCGTTTAATGCCCCGCCAGTTTCAGGTACCCGGATGAGCGGACTGCATGGATGACGACCAATTGACCAATCAGAACAGAGTATTCCAGAGTGCTGTGTAATGAGATAACACATCTAAACCAGCATGATATTGTTTGTATATGCAGCACAAAGCCAGACTAATGCCAACTGTGTGAGGCTGTAATACCCTGCAGGAAACGCACTCAGTGCTGTGAGAGTCAGTGACGCAAAAAGTAGATGTGTGAGCAAAGTTTGTTTCGAAGGCGGACAGGTAAACTGTCCCGGTAAGAAGGCAGCGCCGCAGGCTCCTGCTGAGAAGTGTGAGATAAAAGCAGATGGCAGGAAAAATGGAACAGGAGGGGTTTGCTGCGTTTTAACCGCAAACATCCGGGGCCATAGCAGACGGTCAGCATGAGGTGGGTTAGAAAGACCCCATAGCAGCAGTTTGCTTGGCCACAACCACTGCTTTACCTTAGTACACGGAGAACATCACAACAAACGCATGCAACGTATTTTCTACTATTAAGATGTAAAGGTATGACGCACTTTGCATTTTTATCTGTTTATTGTTCAGACTGAATTGACTGATGTTCAGAAAACTTCTTGTGCACTTCAGTGTGTAAGACCATCATTCAAATGAACACCTCCAGAATCAGACGTGCCATGGTAGAGGTTTATCTCTAGTCATTGTCATGCTGCAGGTTATTGTGATAATGAGTTACTGATGTTATAATTGTAGATATAGCGGTATACTGATTATGATACTGAGGGTATTAAACACTTACATGAATAATTGTACAGCATTCTTTCAGCATTACCTCACTATAGTTATACTGTCTGTACTATAAATTCTTAAGGGGTGCTAAATTCATCTATTAGTCCTAATATATCCCACCTGAAAAGGGACGGCATATAGATCTAGCAATTATGAGACCATAATATAAAAATGTTCTGTGCAATATATCAGTTTCCGAAGCTTAAAAAAAAGGTCTTTTTCTTGCTATACATTTTAAGCACTTTGAATTTATAGATTTGAAGGTGCTTAATACTGGAAGTTTGTTAGTTATTGAAACCACAGTCGAATCTAGATCTAGCTTATCATTTAAAGCCAAAGAGTATATTTATGGAGTTCCTGAATCTATGTTGTATAGTCCTGGAATACATAAATAGTATTAAGCACTGTACATTTATGGTTTGTTTTGTATGCTCCGTATTCACATTATTACTGTCAGTTACCCATCAAGGCTGACAAACAGTTTTGCACCACTTTGGCAGTCATATAACAGTTCTTGTAATTGGCAGATCAGTCTGCAGACTCCATTACAGATGAATGAGATGGTGATTTTTGTACTGTAAAAAAACAAAAAACATCAAGCCGCAGTCATTTCTGTTCCACAGTCTTTTCTCTTCTGCCATCTCTGCCTTTTCGATTCATATATTTCTAACCACAGTACTTGTATCCAGTCAGTGAAGTGCTTTGAAAAGCCCACCAGAATGGTGGTCTATTAAAAGGCAATCTCACATTTTTTTGTCCCTATTTAATAGGCTTCCAAGTCCTGGTCCTGGAAAGCCGTGATATGTCCAGGTTTTGGCTCTAGCCTGGGTTTTAACACCTGATGAATCAGGTAATCTCATCCTCTGACTGTAAGAAGTTAGGTTAAGACAGTGATAAAGGGAGGATTTAGTGCCAGGCAGGAGGAAGACCAAGAGGACAATGCAGCCATCCAGAATCAGAACTAGCAATCCTTTCTACGCTGGTCTTTTGCTGGTTTTACAGCACCGCCATCACTCCTCACACGCTGTTCTTGTCTGGGAGCTCAGCCTCGGGGGTGCGGGGGAAGTAGACCGTGGTCTTGTGCTCTTCGTAACGGTCAATGTGCTTGAGGTGGACGACCATGTGCAGGGCGTAAGCCAACACAAGTAGCAGAATCAGAGATGTGATTAGGCCCATCAAGATGGCTGGAGTGAAGAAAGTCGCACAGTCACTTGCTGAAGCAAACTTGTTGGACTGGACATTAAAGGCCTGGATCTGAAAAAGAAAAAGTTATAAAATTAATGTTTTCTGTCTGAGAAAGTTGTGTCTGAGAAAAAAATGTATTGTAAACCTATACATGAACTAGATCTGGGTCTGTTGACTG